AATGTATGTTTTTGAAGTATACAGTTTATTATGTCTGGGATAAGATGAAAGTAAAGACACTCACAGAAAAAACACATTGATAGGAATATACAAACGATAATTGTAGTAGACAACATTATCACTGGTAGTACACAGAACTCATTTTGTTGAAGATGAAAAAGAAGTAAAAAAAAAAAAACAACTTTAGAAAATCTCTGTGAGTTCTATGAAATTAAAGAGTGTTAAATACATCACTAGTACATTAGATATCATCATTATCTGTACTGTATATTGTACACGTACTTAAAGGCTCAATGTGTCATTTGCACTTTTTTCGCTAAAATATCAAATTTCTCACGGCTTAATACTCCCTCTCTCTATATATACTCAGATAAATTTAATTAAAGATACATTATGTGAGATTCGATAACGAGTTGGCAGTTCTCACTATAATAGTTAAAAACTAGATAACGTAAAGGCAATTTGCTGAAAATTTCATTCAAATTGATCCACTATGAACCGAAAACTAAGCGAATGAAATTTCTGCCTAGGCTCGGTCATCATTATTAAAGTCAGTACGATAAATAGCATAGTCTCGATTATCTATTTAATCGTTTAATCGAGAAGGAAAGTTATGCAGTAAATCGGCTCACAATCCACTTAAGATCGCAGGCTAGCGATGCCATCTAGAGTTGATTATGGTCTGGATAAGTTAATTAATGTCTAATTAATAATTTAGATAACATTTCAGGCCTAAAGAAAGACCTGCAATAGACAGATTTAGCTCTTGCATAATGTATGTTTAAGAAAAAATAAAATTTAAAATACCAACTCTGGAAAACCCACGGGGTTGGATTCAATAAAAGATGGCGGTGTCTTGTTACGCTCCAGCAGCATAGATCGGTAAAATTTCAGTTTATCATAACTTTGTAAATGCTGAACGGAATTAAATCATTTTTTGACTGATATTCCTTTTAGAGATTACACTAACTTTCAGAATATTCTAGTTTTCAAAGTATTCATATAGCTCTAAATGACGTACCGAGGCTTTATATACCTCAAATACGGGTGGCTGTACTATTTAAAAAGAATAAAAAGATATATTTATGAAATTAAAGGGTTATCTTATTCGAGCTGCTTTGAACTAATTTTTCTTGTTTATTATACTTTTCATAATTACAGGCGAGAGGCAAATATACATTAGTGCGCCAGCGTTATACACACACCCGGAAGCCACGATGGCTCAGTGAGTAAGACACTGGCTCGCTAACTCGGTGGTACGTGTTCGATCCCTGTGTTGACAGAGAAAGTTTGTCGAGATTTTCCGGCTTGGTTCCCTTGTCATTGGTGTAGGAAGGGAGGTCTGGCAAGTTGTTCGGATGGGACGAAAAACCGGTCCCGTGTACACACTGGAGTGCACGTACAAGACCCATGGTAGTTGAAATTCGATATAACAGTAGGCCGTAGCGCCGCTGTCTGGGCAAAATTTCCCTCATAGCACACTGTATGGCAAATGCCAGTTTTCATTAGCCCATTTGGAGCAGAACACTATAACGTTAACCCCATTTGATTTCATATACTCACCCTGGAATTTCTGACAGGTTAGTACACTGTACTTGGAATTACAGGTGGTTGTATAGAAAGTAGTGATGAGGATCCTAGACAACTTGCCAGATATAATACATGCAATCTACACCACCTGTTCAGTGGCGCTATAAACAAAACAAAAACAAACTTGATTCAACATTTATACATTAAACACAGATATTAATACTGATGAACTGACAACTAACATTGCTTATAAAATAGAAAGTGCATAGACGCGGGTCCAGAGGCTGTTTTGCACCGGATGACGCCTTGGGGAGTGTGTGTGTGTGGGGGGGGGGGCGATAAAAAGAGGGGTACATTCCTGTGCTGAGTAATGTGAAAGTTATTTTGTGTTGTCTTATCTCATCCCCAAGATAACACCGAAAAGGGCCATCTGCACTTGACAGAAATGTTAGTCAACGCCATACAAGGCCATTTAATTCACCCCTTTTAGCAAAAACACTGATTGTGGCAATCTATTTACAGAGTATTAGGAAAGTCTTCTAATATCTCTGTAAAAGATGACTGCCTTCAACAAATGACGTCATATCACGCGGCGTCAATCTTTGGCTCAATGACGCGTGCATTGTTTACATAAGAGTTACAGATTCGAGCAGAATGGCACCTTTTACTTATTTTAATACCCATTTATACTAAAATAGGAAATAATTTTTACATACAAATACTTCAAACGTCATTATTTATTTTTCTAATACATAAAAAAAAATGTTTTAGAATTTAATTTGTCGGAGGAAAAAAGTTAATATTTGTGGCTTATTAAGTCGCATCGATGTCATCCTTATCAGTGTTTGTCGCGGCCTAGTGAATATTTACTGCTGATCAGTGTGTGATTGTGGAAGTAGACTTTAAACCGGAATCCGCGGTGTGAAGAGCTTAAGGCGCTGGCTCACTAACCGGGGGGTCCGATGTTCGATCCCGGTGTTGGTCGAGGAAGATCCCCGGAATCGTCCAGCGAGGCCTTGTCAGTGGGTGCAGGACTGATGGCCTAGCAAGGACAGATTCTAGTCGTTTGGATGAGATGAAAAACCTAGGTCCCGTATAGACATTGACGTGCACGTAAAAGAACCTTTGATAGTTGGAATTCGAAACAAGAGTAGGCCGTAGCGGAAGAATTTCCCTCATAGCACACTTTCAGTCTTCATTAGCTTAGTCGGTGCAGAAAAGTAGGACGTTAAACCCCATTTCACCATTAAACCACCAAGGGATAGAGAGAACCCTAGTGCAGGGCTCCGACCCCCTGGTCACCCGCCCACGATCATTCTTAATGATAAGAGAGTTTCACGTAACTAAAGAAATGTTGTATAATTTATTATGACATAAATAGAATGTATTTGATAGAAGCGGAATGTTATGCATGAGATTTTCTTAAAGGATTTTTCTAATTGCATGTAACTAGAATCCTTGTATCTTTCTGTTATTGTAATGTTATACGGGTTGTTGATATCAGTGGATTCACCACTTGACATGTAGGGTATGAATATTATTCATGTTTTTATAGTCATTCATAACATAATGTTTTTTTTTATAAAACGTATCAACTAATATTACATATTATATTATTATATGTTGTAGGTTGAAATGATGAATTAGGACTATTCGTCATCCAGTAAAGCAATGTGAAGGACGCCCCGCCACCACTCCCAACTGCTCCCTCCGTAGCCCTAAAAGAACTCAATTGATCAACTTTTAACGAACCAAAATCAAATGATCAACTTTTAAAAAAACAAAACTTAAAAAGGAGACCCCCCCCCCCCCCCGAACCGAATTCCCCATTCCCTCGCCCTTTCTTGTAGTATACAACATTTATCGCATGTTGAAAAGATATGCCAGAGCTATTCGCTATATAATACAGGTACTCCCTATACATTATAGCTGAGTAAAGAACACTTCACCCCTCAACTTCGCACCTCCCTCTCCCCAAAAGAACTTCAAAAGAAAAACTGATGAGTATAAGAACAGCAAAACTCGTCTCTACGGCTTGCATGACTCCACAAACGAAATTAATACCCTTATCTTTACAACAGTTCAATCATACTTCAATTTAACTAAACGATTTTAAACTATATTGTTGTTATTATTATTATAAATATTATTATTACATACTATAATACTTTAGGTGTATTCAGGTAAGTACGGGTTGTACATATTGTATATAGTGTATCTACTGCTTTTCATTATTAATATATAATTTGTATTGTAAATAGGGATAGGGGTCTGACATAGGCATTTTACCTGTTCCCCAATTTCCCATTCATTTATAGTGAATAAAATATGTTTATAAAAAAAAGAGAAAAACTACACCCCGTCCAACAAACTGCCCCTCACTCGCCATGAATGAACTCCTTAGAACAATCAACAACTCCGAATGACCAACTGGGAAAACCCCAATATACTGGTATAAGGAATATAAAATATGCTACTTTTACCGTAATTATAGAACCGTGACTAGTGTATTCCATGTTTAATTGATAATTATAAATTTCATTGAAACATTTTGTGTGGACGCCCTAACTAGGAACCAGTCACTAAGCAATCCTAAACGGCAATACAAAAGTCTGATATTCAAAAAGAAAAAAAATATAAGTATAAGAAAATAATCATAGAAAGAGAATGACTGTTATCGCAGTATTCTGTGTGTCATATACAAACTCAGGATATTTTTAAAGGAATCGGAAGCGCGGGGACATAGGAGGGACCGGGGAGGTCGCGTACCACCGAGAAAATATTTGAATTCAGGGCAGTTTGTGTTAAGGAATCTGAAACACTGGGCATAGGAGGGACCAGGGAGGTAGCGCGAGAAAATATTTGAATTCCGGTATACGTTAGAGGAGTTTTGATTTGGTATGTAAATGCATTCTGCTTTGTGTCACATACAGGGCACTTTGTGTTAAGGAATCTGAAACACTGGGGCATAGGGGGGACCGGGGAAGTAGCCTATCACCGGGCGCGAGAAAATATTTGAATTCCGGTATACCTTAGAGGAGTTTTGATATGTTAATGCATTTTGCTTTGTGTTACAAGTAACAAGTTCGATGTTTACCTAATTACGCTATTTTCCATCTCTGAAATAATACCAAAAAGATCGTGATTGTCTCTTGTCAACATCATCGGTATTACAAAGCAGTGGGGCATTTTTTTTCAGCAGTGGAGTATTTGCTCCACTACTTATTATACTACACAATGCCCTGTACAAATCTGAACATTGGTAAACATTCGTAGAAGTGATTTCCAACTGTTTCGACGCCTCACTTCTCATGAAACAGTGAAAGATCTACATTGTTGTTAATTCACCTACACTCGCCGATTGATAATAGCGGCTCCACGTATATAGATAGTTGGTTTACATATATATATATATACCTATACCATACTTATATATATGTACTACACACAGCTGATAAAAGTCGCTAGACTCGAGCCTCGAACAGGTTCATTCATCCAAATATCAGACGTGACGGCGAGAAGAGTGAGAGAGCTATTTCAACTATAGAAGCGTCGCGGGTTCACTATTCAGTGCTTAGCTCTCTTATACGGATGCCTGTATCGAAGGATTTACTAGTGTCAGTTTTGAGTGGACGACGGATTACTAAGCTCCATGCGACTGTGAACAATTAAGTTCTTGTGTTAAATTTAAATCCAACTATTGTTTTGCGCGAACGTGGAATGAACCAGGGTCCAGAGACGACCGATTTCTGCAGTGTTTTAATAATTACTTGACAATTTTTAATCTTTAAACTTTGGTTGAATTAGTCGTTAGTGATAACAGGCACGCCATGCTGTCCTTTAACAGTTCACGGGAGCATTCGTATTATATATAGGTCTATGTTTTGCTTGTGTTTAACCGGCTGATCAGGGATATATTTTGGGTTATTTTTGAGTTTTTGTGAGTTGGTACCGTAATTAGTAACGGAATGCGACAAGATATACCTTACCTGTGTTTTCTATTGGTACATATTTTGGTGTTAATACAGGGATGTTTTAGCACTCAACAACACGTGGATAATGTGTTTTTAAATCCTCGGCAAGGTAAGATAATCCGTGCACACTCATCGCTGGTGCTTTATTTACTATTCACCTGACCTCTGATTCAATAAGCCAAATAGATGAAATGAGATGGGGGTTTAACGTCCTATTTTTTTGCACCAACCGCGATAATGTCAATGTGCAATGAGGGAAATTTTGCCGGACAGCGGCGCTACGGCCTACTCTTATTTCGAATTCCAGTTTTCAAGGGTTCTTTTACGTGCATTGTTATTTGCCGGGTTCTCTGTCCTGCACCACTGACAAGGGCAAATCCCGAGAAACTCTCTCGATTAACAACGAGATCGATTCCTGGTTGCCAAGGTTAGCGAGCTAGCGTCTTACTCACTGAGTCACCGCGCCCACCCCACCACTTAAAAATATAAGCTAATAGCACAGAGTGCCCAAATGCAGAAAAGTAAAGAAATTTCAGTTTTATGCATGGAGGCGTGTAGAATTTTGGATGGAGAAATTTGTCGGACCGTTTTCTCCAACTTTCATTAAAGTTATAAACTGTTAAGGGTTCTTTGATGTGCACGCCGATGGTTACACAGACGGAACTCTGTTTTCGTCCCACCCAAATGACTAGGACAACAGTTTAATTGTCCCAAACGTAAGAGAATTCCGACAAAAGTAACTTAATCTAACATTCTTAGCAAAGCACTAAACGATATTAATCGATGTTGTATAATGTCATGCCATACCCCGTGGTGGTGGTAGTAGCACATATATACGTGTTCTAGTCGCGCCACCCGCGTCCTTTCCCACCCTCTTCTCTTGTTGCGGAAAGTTCATATGTGACCACACCACAATCTACCGTTCATGGCTAGATCTAGTTATTAAATTCCATATGACTTCTGACTTCAGATCTAAAGTATAACAATACTAGATCTAGCTATTAAATCCCATGTGACTTCTAACTTCAGATCTAGAATATAACAATACTAGATTTATCTAACTTCAAATTTAGAGTATAACAATACTAGATCTATCTAACTTCAGATCTAGAGTATAACAATACTAGATCTATCTATTAAATCCCATATGACTTCTAACTTCAGATCTAGAATATAACAATACTAGATCTATCTAACTTCAGATCTAGAGTATAACAATACTAGATCTATCTATTAAATCCCATATGACTTCTAACTTCAGATCTAGAATATAACAATACTAGATCTATCTAACTTCAGATCTAGAGTATAACAATACTAGATCTATCTAACTTCAGATCTAGAGTATAACAATACTAGATATATCTATTAAATCCCATATGACTTCTAACTTCAGATCTAGAATATAACAATACTAGATCTATCTAACTTCAGATCTAGAGTATAACAATACTAGATCTATCTAACTTCAGATCTAGAATATAACAATACTAGATCACAAGGTTAATTTAAAGCCTCTGATTTGACGTTTAGTACAATAAAACTTGCTTACAAAAACATCGCTTCACTCGGAGTCTTAATTGCAGAATATCCATAAACCAGATGTTATTTTGCATAATTTCTCCAGTAGCCGTTAATGTCAAAATATTTGAGTAAATAAACGTCTGGTTTAAAAGTTGGTTCATTTTACAAACAGGCTCATTTTGATCTGGGCCCTGTTTCTCGAAATCTTAATTAAAGATAAAATCCAAATTTTAGTAGATACTTCAATTTTGATTGGCCAAGCACTAAAATCAATCTAATATTATCCAATCAAATTACTAAAATTTTGATTTTATCGGAGTTAAAATTTCGTGAAACAGGTCCCAGTACTGTAATTTCTATAATCCACCAGATTTGCACTGATCCAGGGGCGGGTCCGGGATTTTCAGCGTTGAGGGGGATGGCGACGTGGAAGGCGACGTGTCCAGAAATATTAGATCTCCGTATTGAAATGTTCTAATATAGTAATAATTTGGGAGCACCAAACGCAGGAAATGCCCATGACAGAAAATTTTGAAAATAATGGAACGCTGTAGATGACTATTGCTGACCAATTCAGGTCCCTGCCCCAGACCCCCTAAATTGAGTATGAGCTGGTGGGGGTGAGGCTGCATCCACGCCTGTGGCCGTGTAACTAGTTTCAGGGTCGGATGTACATAAATATCGTGGGAACAATGTTCGACGTGGGTGAGCCAAACGGGCTTCTGCACAGGGCTTGCATCTTGGGAGGGGTGGGGTGGGGAAATGTATCCGAATTTTACCATCGACGCGATAACCGTTTTTTGTCATTTTCGATTTGGTCTGTCACTGCTCATTTTTCATTTTTACTATCATGGGGTTGGGCGGGGTGTTGCTTGTTCAAAATACTGTGCCCAGAACCCGAAATATCCCAAGACCGGCGCTGGTTGTTGCGAAAATACCACAGCTGGTTCCAGAATAGGATGTACATTGCTGTCATATAGAAACTCTAGTTTGTCCCTAAAGGACCTCATGGCTGTTGACTTCGGGATTATTTATGTAGAAATATATCCCAGTTAATGAAGCATAATGAAAATGAACGACGAATGGTAACATTATACTTGATTTACTATAGGTTTATGTATACTTTGATAATCGTATATATAAGACAAATATACAAGTAAATAACATTACAAAACAGATTAATTCATTCATCCTTATCAATCTGTTGACCTTCTGATTAACGGATTAATCACGATTATCCCAATACGATATTAATCCGGACGTATGTCAACATTCCCAAATGGCGTATAATAACTGACGACTAAAAACTAACATTGTTGGTATCAATTTATGCTCAAATGATTTTTCCTTTCATTTTTCAATTAATACTGCCAAGGGATCATTAGCACAATCGACGGAGATTGATATAAATTGGACTAATGAAGACGGGCATACGCCATGCAGTGTGTTAAGAAGAGGGAATGTTTCCGTCTGCTCTCACGGAATTTTAATTTTCAATGGTTCGTAACGTGCACACAAATGTGTACACGAGAGGACCTCGGTTTTTAGTTCCATTCGAACGACTATACGGGATCGATCCCGAGACATCCTGGGTTTTAACGTCCTACTTACTGCACCAACCGGGAATTCGCCATGGAGTGTGTTACGAGGGACATTCTTCTGCCTACTCTTCATGGAATTACAACCGCTTTGGTTCTTTTACGTGCACACCAATATGTACACAAGGGTACCTCGGTTTTTCGTCCTATTTGAACGATTAGACCGGCGTGTAAATCCCGAGTAAATTACTAGACCAATGAGATCGAAGTTGGAATTTCCCGGTTAGTGAGCCAGCACCGTATTCACAGAGCCACCGTGCCTCCCGTACACGAGGCAGCACACACATCATCCATCTCGAACATCTATTAAAGAATTTTACACAGGTAGCAATTGATGTTATATACACACCATGCAACACCTGAGTTTTAAAATCCGATGAAATTATGTTGTCGGTAATTGAAGTATTTTTAGGACAGGTGTGGAAAGGAAAATAACCAATCCGCCAAGTAATACAGTTGTTCTTACTAAATAAATGTTGTAAAAAAGAATATTTTAATCGTTTTTCCACATCATGCTGACGGAATACTTCTTAAAACACTTAACTCTCTGCACTTGAGGTTAAAAAACCTATTCCACTGTTTTATTTCACATAAGAAACATGTTTCTAAATCGAGAATAAGTTATATTGCCAATCGCATCATCATTTAGACTACGCCTCGACTTTTTGATACAAGCGACGACTTAGGAGGTTCCGGGATTCGATTCTTATGATCGCCGAGAAAGCTCACAGCCTGGGTTGCTCTCGTAAGTGGTGTAGCAAGGAGGTAGTCTAATCGTTAAAATCCGAGGTCCCGTGTACACACTGGCATACATGTAAAAGAAACATTGAAAGTTGCCGATGCTCGGGCAAAATATCCCTGTTACACGTGCGCGCTGTATCATAAGGCCTGTCATTGAGTCAACTGGCATGGTTTCGATTCTCCGGTTGTACGTGACAAGCAGTAGGGTCGCCGCAACTTGACGAAGTCGGTCGTTGGAAACCACGGGTTTGTTTTACACGTAGTCGCACTCGTTTTTTAAGTTTTATTTTTTAAATCGTCAGAAACCATAAAGGATTTTAACGTCAATGTCAGCTTTGCTTAACCCCAACACGCTACACGAAATATTAAACATACACTTGAACAAAGATCTGTATTTACTTTATGACCCTCAAATATTGAAATTAATTGAATTTTGATGTAGTTGAAAACGTGAATAGATAGATTATTTTGATAGTACATCGTGAAGTAGAGTTCATGGCCCACAAAAAATCTCGCTCACTCAGTCTGTCAAACTAAATGTAAACCTCTTCAATTCACTTCTGCAATAGACAAGGCTATATAGTATATTATTCGGTCAATATCGTTGTGTTCCGTCCACGTTCACATTTTATACAAATGAAATGGGGTGTAACGTCCTACTGTTACCGAAGACGGACAAAGGCCATACACTGTGCTACCAGAGAAATTTTGCGCAGACTGCCAAAGTCCCATCCGAACGACTATAAGTTGTCCCTTGCTAGGCCCTCCGTCCTGCGCCACTGACAAGAGGAACCACGCCGGAAATTCCCGATGAACTTTCTCGGCCATTTTATACAAACTTCATACAACTTAAGCGTCTGAAAATTATTCAATTTCGTTCAGTTGAAACTCATCACTACGGTTTGGCGAATGTGCTAGATACATTTTCCTTTATACTTTGTACTGAGCTGACTGGCAACGGTCACATTTGATACAACTTAAGCTTCTGTTCGTCATTCCAAACTACAATAATGTGAAAGATCAATCTTTAAAGGGAATATCGGTCTTAAAATTATTCAATTCTGTTCACTATTTACAATTATATAATAAACTGAAACTCATACTTCATGACTGAATCAAGCAAGACTGTAATTTGATGAACGTCGTTGATATATAGTTACTATATATACACCGTGTACTAAACTATATATACACCGTGTACTAAACTGACTAGTTTAGCCAGGGTGTTCGCCGCTTGTTAAAATCTCCCCCGAGCCCCTTTTAGAACCATGAAACTAGACATATTATATCTTCTGCACGGAATTTTATAACAACGTAGATAGCTAAACGTATATGGTAAGAAAAAAAACATGTCATTCAAATCTAGTCTTTTAAAGAGAATATTAGAAAAAAGGAAAAGAAAACTTTGAAATATGTAAATGATTTTAACAAAATAGTTATGTAAGTTTAAGATGCATGATTGCTCAGCTTTTGTAATTAAAAAGACAGTGACGTGCTTTTGATTTCAAGAACACCTTTTACCACATACCTAGGATTTTGTGAACTTGTCGAATTCGTACACCGAACTTTGTTCGGGTCAGCTGAAAGCATCATGTTGAAACTAACTGTAGAATTTCTCAATTATCAACGCCTCCAACAGCTCCCTAACAAACAAAACAACAAGCCACACATTTGGCACGAGCTTGGCTGGGCGAGTATGGCGTTTTCGCACTAAATATGAGGTCCCTTGTTGGACGAGAGAGTTCCTTGGAAATTTGAGCCACCACGGCACAGTGAGTAAGACGCTGCCTCGCTCCCGGTGTTGGCCGAGAAAGTTCCTCGGGATTGTCCGCCTTGGTTTCAAGTGGTGCAGGACGGAGGGCCTGACAAGGACAGGATGTAATCGTTCGGATGGGATTAAAACCCTAGGCCCCGTGTGGACATTAACGTGCACGCAAAATTTCCCTCATAGCGCCCTTTAAACCTGATTGCTCTAATTATGCAGAATAATACACGTTTAATATACATGTATGTTATCTCTGTCATTCACAAACGATCTAGTTTTCTTTATCAAGAATTGGGAGATGGTGGGTGGCTGAATTGTTTAGCGCGTGCGCTTTAGATCATAAGATCTGGCATACAAAAAAGTGGCATGGTTTCGATTCCTCGCGTGTCCAACCTCGTGGGTTTTCTCCGGATTGTCCGGTTTCCTTCCACTGCTAAAGACCCGTACGCGGAAGCGAATTGTTGAAATAAATTTGACCCATGTTTTAACCCCAAATTTACCTAGTATATTTCCAGTGGACGTTAACCTTCATTTCGGTCCCCCCCCCTCTAACTTTAACAAGAATTGTGATGAACTAAATATAATAAAATACTTTAGATAAGTGTTTAAGGGCTCGTCAACGCCAATAGTCAACAACCAAGTACCATTAAAGGTATTACGGAAAGATGCAGCAGGCATCCCTTTAAATGAAAGTAGGGGCGTATCTAGGTAAAGAGGCTGGGGGTGGGGTGCATCTAGGAAAGAAAAGAGGGTGGAGATTGTACACGTTCACAAAATAGGTTATGGTATACCTAAAAAGAGATTATGGCCATGGGACGGCGTGCCACATAGAACAATAGGATGTGAGGGTGGGGGTACCAAAGGAAAGAGTAGGATTTGCCCCTAGGAAAAGATCTTTGAGAGGAGGCACCTGGAATAAAAGGGTGGAAAGAGGGTGAATATGCTCCGAAGAAAATATGGTAGACGGGGATGCACCTGGAAAAAAGAGGTCTGGAGAGAGTGCACTAAGGAATATAGGGTGGGAGGGGATGGATCATTGAAAATAGGATGGAGCGTGCAAGGTCAACGTTGGAAAAATGTTAAAATTTTGGGAAGGCTGGTTTCATATACACACGTTGAGGCCGAAAACAAACATTAATCTTTATTCTAAAATAATTTTTGTTTAATTTTTCAGCCGAATACGTTAAAAGCTTAGACAATTATGTGGTGTCTCTACCAAGTCGCGTGGACGAAACGGGAGCCTTCATAGGTCACGAACTACACGCGCATAATTTACACAAAAGAAGTTTAGGACCTGATTCAGGAGACAATGTAGTACTTCATTATAAAATTCCAATAGGAAATGAGGAAATTATTATACAAGTGAAAGAAAACAAAAAACTTTATTCCAAATCAACGATAGTTGAAAGACGGACCAACAAGTTTAAAAATGTGTCGGATTCAACATTTAAACACCTAGAGAGACAGGGATGTCATTATAGCGGTCATGTGGTCGGAGACGTGAATTCCAAGGTGGCCATAGCAGCTTGTGATGGCTTGGTAAGTTAGATTATTATTATCCTAGTTTAATTAGACCCCAGATTGTCTAGTTGCTGGAGGCGGGGGTAGGGGGTTAATTCACATATTGCATTAAGTTACGTTCGGCATCAATAATAATTATCTATTATTTAATAAAACTTCCCATTCCATCCTCGTCACCATTGCCGCAAGTTAGTTCATGTTCCATTTGACGTCAAGAATATTTTTTAAATGGACCCATGCAAATTATCTGAAGGTGATTTTAAACGATATCAGACAGGATATATGGATATGTAACTTCTGTTCGTTTGCCCATTTTTAAATATCTATCCTCTGGATCTGTTGGTCATTGGTGTAAATCCGCTAAGTATCCTCCCACACCTACCCAAACACAGATAGGCACCCATACCCTATTCCCAACTCAGCCATGGCATGGTACGGGTATCAACTTCCCTTTGACCGAAAGCTTTTAAAATGCGTGCAAGGATATTCATATTCTACCAAAGTTATCTGAATTATCTGTTAAAGATTGAACTTGTAACACCATGAAGTTTTTATATGAATAGCAATCGTTCGTACAGTATGGTTTTTATATCCATAGCATGATGCGCGATCTTAAATCTGCATCAGCGGAAGATGTAATAATTTAGATTATTGAGTCATCAATCTAGTACAGAGTAAATACAGCTGATCCGTCGATGGTTTTTCTCTCAATATTATATTACTTGACGTATGTTTATTGAACCTCTGTTAGGCCATCTAGTAAAATGTATCATTTCTTTCCTGCTACTTGTGCCAAACAGTGGCGTATCTAAAATATTTACTTTTAGAGCCCATTGGGGAGCTGGGTTCCCTTTTTTGTGGTGCCTAATAGTAAGTACGGGAAGATCGTAACAAATAAAATATATCATTTCTTTCCTGCGAGTTGTGCCAAATAGAGGGGTATCTCAGATATTTACTCAAGGGGCTTGCATAGCTCATGCTGTAAATTACGATTTGGGAAGGTGGGACCTTTTTCTGGTGGTGGCTTATGGTAAGTGTAGACAGATCGGGCTACACACAACCAGAAACTCATTAGACAGATACATGGAACGATGAGAATGGATCCGGAAGCCAGCTGCAAAGTTCCACCGACGGAAATGGCGATGGACAGAGAGAGCGTTGATAGTGCTGACTCTCTAAACGGTAGATCCCAGTGTTAGCCGAGAAGGTTCCACGAGATTTCCCAGTCTGGTTTCCCCTTGTCATGATTCAGGATGGCAAGAGAACGTATCTAGTCGTTCGGATGGGACGAAAAACTAAGGTCCTGTATAAACCATTAGCCATGAAAGTTGAAAATTGACATAATAGTAGACCATAGTTTACTGCATGACGCATGCACATCTCCATTATATTACCATTATCCCGGTTGATGCAGAACAACAAAACGTTAAATCCCATTTCATTTCATCTCCGAGTGCCCTATCAGCATATACCCTAATCTAGGTTAAAGGGACCTAATTCACTAAAACTTACACTAATATATTTTAAGGATTCGGGCATTTCACTGGTTGAGATTTAAAAATCTTCTAGTACAAATTTGAGCTCTTGGCGGCCAATAAAAGGGCAGAGTAGCGCCAGACTAAGCCCTACCAGCTCTCGCGTTGTTGGAAACCCTTAGCAGCCACTCCAGTCTAGGTTACTGGTGCCAAAGCAAGCCCTATCGGCTCTCGCCATGTTGGAAACCCTTGGTATCTACTCCAATCCGGGTTACTGGTGCCAAAACAAGCCTCAACAGCTCTATCACTGTTTTGGAAACCCTTAGCAGCTACCCCAGTCTAGGTTACTGGTGCCAAACTAAGCCCTATCAGATCTCTCGCCATGTTGAAAACCTTTAGCAGCTACTCTAGTCTAGGTTACTGGTGTCAATCTGAGCCCTGTCAACTCTCTGGCTGTGTTGGAAACCCTTAGCAGCTACTCTAGGTTATTGGTGCCAGGAACCCGTAGCAACTACTCCAGTCTAGGTTAATGGTGCCAGTCTGAGCCCTATCAACTCTCTCGCGGTGTTGGAAACCCCCAAAAGCTACATGTACCCCAGTCGAGGTTACTGGTGCCAAACTAAGCCCTATCAGCTCTCTCGCGGTGCTGGAAACCCGTAGCTACTCCAGTCTAGGTAGCATGTGCCAAACAAAGAATATCGGTTCAATAAGACGTTTAGGGAAGCTGTTAGTGAGAAGATGTCAAGTTAACATGACTTAGAGATACATGTATGTAGATCACATGTTTAAATGAGCAGATTTACTAGGGTGTTTAACGTCAAGAATTTCTCGACATGTTATAAGAATAATATTGTTATTCCCAGTATGTGGTTAATACACAAACTGTGACGTATATTTATCTGGCTCGCGAGTTCTCCATGTTGATTAAGTATGATAATAGAGGGTCGACGGACGCACGAGATTACGATCGTTTGTAAAATAAACGTAAGAATAATTTCACGCAGCATCACAGCTTACAGGTGGTCGCATTCTTTATCGGTGTTGAATTTATCTTCTACATAAAATCGACATTAGTGTAAAAACGCATCTTATCTGGAAATATTATTCCGTTAATCTTTTCATGCCACCAAAAGAGTATGGGCAAAAACTTGTACATTTGAAATGTAATTCACTTAACCCCCTATTTAATGGGCCAATATATAAAATGTAATGCCGGCGAAAGGTAGCGCAATGTCTTAGATTTCGGACAACCCCATAAATGTATTCTTTAATTATATCGGGTGGCCCAGAAACAATCGGGTACTCTATTTAAAGTGGATCATATGAAAGGAGGTTTTTAAAAGCTGGATGAAGCCTATTTTGTGGCTTCCTCGGGCAAGTTTCTTAGGAAACACTTGTCTCGGATATCACCCGTGGTGGAAGTGGACGTAAAACTCCAGGAACGATAGAAAGAAATGGGGTTTAACGTCATAGTGTTCTGCACCGACTCGGATAATGAAGTTGGTTAATGTGGAATAATTCAAAACGTATTTTACCCCTTACTTTTTACTTGGAGTACAATATGGATGTTCGACAACTTCACTCCAAATTGTAGGTCTATTGCTCAAATAGTGTTAACATAGTGCGACTTTAAATAAAGAATGTCAAATTATCTTTAGCCGGACCGAGAAGTCACATCACACTTACCCCAGTTTACAAAAACAGTTGCAGATTTTGTTCTGTGGCGTTTTACGGGGGGGGGGGGAAATCTGTAGCTTGATGCTTGATAATTCTTACCTCTTATGAACCTTATTTTCATTCATATCCCTATGTATTGTTGTTGCTCAATTGGGCTGCAGTGTCAATCAATTCTGTCACTTGATTTAATCAGAACATTGTACGACCTTACCAATTTGATTTTCTGTTCTTCGGGAACATGTATTAAAAACTCTGCCTCCAATTTCCTCAAGAGTTTTTACGTCCAAATAAGTATGTTTTGAAATATTAATAAGACAGCACACGCAAGAATTGACTGGGTTCTTTACTGATCAAGACCCAAACGTTCAAAATATTGAATTGGTTTGCCCTAACATCGGGGAGCGGGGTGGGACAGGGGTTGAACCTGTAAACTGGTGATATGTCAACTTATTATTGCCCACTGGATCATTTTACCCAGTATAGACCTTGCTATGAATGACAACTCACCCATTGCCTTACTTCGCAGGTCAATGATAACCACTGAAGTAACAATATTGTGTTATCTCTCGGGACTCTAATCAAATAACAGGCCACATTAACTTTCAAAACAGATATAATCATTACGTTTAGTTATATATATTATTGAATACAAAGTACTTTTGACACCCCTTTTCATTCTGAGTCAAAATTCATCCCCCAGGGTTTGGTAACTCCATGTCGTTTAAAACACGTCTTTGTTTGATGTGTTGACTCGGGGTAAATGAGTTTATCAATGAATTTGTTGACATTTAAGAAAGACTGATAGGCGCATGTCTCCTATGTTGACTGTACCATATCGTTTACCCATAACCAGATAGATAAACTCTCGTCATTACCACTCAGTTGTATCGGTTTTATCTATCACAATGTTGAAACGCCATCTTCAAGAGGAAATCAGTTGTTGGTTGGGAAGGTGCTGGCATTGGGTTGATAGTGCTTAAGAAGGAGCCTAAACATGGTGCTGAAGAAAGTACCCGAAAGGGCCACACAACGTTACTGTCATTGGGTTGATGGTGCCGAAAAAAGTGCATGGAAAAGGCCACGCAATATTATTACTGGCATTTGGTTGATGGTGCTGAAGAAAATACAAGAATATGGTCGCACAACATCATTGTCATAGGGTCAATGGTGCTGAAGAGGGTACCTGAAAAGGGTCACACAACATTACTGCTATTGGGTTGGTGGTACTGAATAAGGTACATGTACATGAAAAGGCCACACAACGTCACTGTTGTTGGGTTGCCGGTGCTGGAGAAGGTGCCCGGGAAGGGCCGCACAAATTTACTGTCATTGGGTTACTGGTGGTGAAGAAAGTACCTAAAAAGGGTCACGCAACATTATTGTCGTTGGGTTGTCGGTGCTGAAGGTGCCCTAGAAGGGCCGCACAACATTACTGCCATTGAGTTGATGACGCGGAAGAAGATACCTAAACATTACTGTCATTGAGTTGGTGGTAATGAAGATCTTAAAGGGTCACACACCATTACTGGCAAAGGGTTAATGGTATAAATATATATTCATACTTTAACAGTAGTTTTGATTATTATAGATTCTTAAATGTAATTGTTTGTTTTTATACCCGCCATATGTATTATACATCTGAGTTCGCATCTATTGTATTGCTCTACTAATCTCTGATTTTGCAATTAGGCCGGATAATGAATGTGATCATGTGTATTATATTTGGTCACAGGGGTTAAATATGAGCTAACTGATGATAACAGGAGCTAACTAGATAGGCATAGGGTTAGAAAATCTGTGCATCTGAAACGTCCATCATTCATTATAATGGTATTGTAAATTTGACATTCAATGTATCGACTATGT